GCCCAGGAGAGTGGCCCCAGCTTCTCCTGAAACAGCTGGGACCTGAAAGGGACAGCGATCTTGTCCTAGCAGATATTAATGTATATAAAGCTACGATAATGAAAACAATGTGGTATCAGAGGCAGAAAGGCCACTAACTTAGTTATTTGTGTGTTCTCTCCTTAAGTATGTCGATCGCTATTAACTAAAAATAAAGTAAAACATATTCAAAATTAGGAAGGAAATGGCAAACTGAGGAAATATTTACAACACATTTAAAAGGCTATTGTATAAGGGGTCTCTCTCAAGGTAGAGAATACATAAAATAAAAACAAAATAGACTGAAAGTTCAGAAACAGTATTTATAATATAAATGTTTTTGATAGAATTGCCATTTCATACCATGGAGAAAAGATAGGATTATTCAGTAAGTGGTGTTGGGGGTAAATGATGGTGTATTAAAAAACCAGATTTAACAGATCTCTAATTCATATCTAACACCAAAAGTGAGTGACACTGGGACAACTGGTAAATTGGATCAAGTATATTTTTTAAAGTGATATATTTAACATACTCCCAACACTAAAATTATTTTCAAATAATTAATGTAATAAATCATAGAAAAGTTAAATCAAAGCATAGATAAGTATGTGGAAGGGGCAGTTTCCTAAGGGGGAAAAAAAGAGTTTAATCTTATCTAAAACAACCACAAGCAACAGAGTCAAGCTCGGGGAGCCAAAGTGTGGTTAAGAAAGAAAGAAAAAAAGAGTTGAACTTCAGCTCTGAAAGATATGAAATCGTAGCAACTTGTCCCAGGAAGCAGCTGGGAAATTCCCTCTGACCCTGGTCTTGCTGCAAGAAGGGAGCAGGCGGTGATGGAGGCCGAGGGTGCCACTCCCAGCAGAGGGGCGCCTTCTCTGACAAAGGGGCCTGAGTGCGTAGGAGTGGAGGTGACGACTGAGCAGATGGGACACTGCAGAGAAGCTCAAGGGCAGAGGGAGGTCACGGAATAGTCCTGGTTCTGCCTGGGCGGGAAGCAGGGAGCAGGATTTAAGGAGCCCTTAGTTGCTTGATGAGGGCTGAGTAAAACCCAGTTTTGAAATCACCCCCTTTAATCATCAAATTATGCTTTGCTATGTCCAAGGACAGCACAAAAACACAGGAGTTGGGCTGTAGGCAAGTTTGAGGAGAAGTTCTGGTGGGAAGAAGGGGCCAAATTAATGGGGGACATTTCAGATAGTGAAAGATCCACGTGACAGACCTGGCTGGAGAGCCCAGTGCCAGCCGCGCGGTTCACGCAGTGCCCGCCCTGCTGAGCAAGGGGTTTGACTGACGTCAGGAGCTGATAGGAAATCAATCAGGAGAGAAGCAGGGACCTGCGGCCGCCGCTGACATTGACCCGTCAGTCCCCTGACGGCCTGAGCTGCTTCCTTCCAAATGCTTTCTCGGGGTCGGGGCGGGCATCTCTCCTCACCCATGCCCCCCTTCTAACGTCGCTATGACTTGCTTTTAATTGGTTGTCTAAATAACCTTCATCTTTCCTCCAAGATTCCTCCCCAGTTCAGCTTGGCGGAGGGGAGCACAGTGAGTTGAAATGGACTGTCGATGCTAATTTATCGACTGAGCAGAGGAGACTTCACAACCTTCAGCCTCAGCAAGGCTGCTGAGCTGGCCCGTGGGGATCATTCTGCCCAGCCTAACCTCTGATGGAAAGCTGGTCATCCTGCTTCTTTTAGCTCTAAGTCTGTCCTTGTGAAAAATTCAGGGGCTGGACTATGCGATGGATACCATTTCTCCAGTGTTAGTATTTTCTGAGACTAGAGATGAGCAAAGAGCAAGAACAAGTGGTTCCCGAAATATCAGAAAACACTTGGAAAATACCTAACCACTGAAGGATCAAAGAGATCATGTTGAAACAATGCGATCATTTCTCTTTAAACTCCATGATTGGCAAAGATTTAATGAAGAAACGGTACCACCTCCCATCGGGTGGGGGGAAGAAAAACCAGAGCTCTCACTTGCTGTTGGCAGGAACATACCTTTTCCTAGAGGACAGTTGATGAATATGCATCAGTCTTAGGATGAGCGTCATCAATCCAGCAATGCCACTAGCATGAGTTCGGAGGAACTGATCAGAGACTCAAGGGAATATTCAAAGGGTGCAAGGTCACAGGATCAGCATGGCCTGCATGCACATTGAACCCCCACCCATGCAGAGCCACCCTTCCAGGGGTGACCTTGCCACAGGACCAGGGAGACCCTGCCCTGTCCAGGTGGCTGTGGTCTTCTCTGCTGCAAGACCAGCTCTGGCCCACCATTGGCCGTAGGACAAAGGGAGTCTCCTATGACTTGGTTGCTCCATAACCAAGCTGCAGCCCACCCAGAAAGAGCTTCTTGTCAACTTCTCTCCCACTGGCTCTGCCTGCCTGTCCTTCCTGTTGCCACACTCACTCTCGCCTCAGATCACCAGGGAGCCAGCTGTCCCTCTGCTTTCCCCTTCTCCTGTCTGAATTCTTCTCTCTTTCAATGGTGGCTTCCAAGAAATGCGCTCCACCGTTACCTGACTTCCTGCACACATACTCTAGCATATTTTTTGTGTTACTGTGGTTTTTGTTCAATTTTGTTTCACGTCTATCTTTTCAATGATAAGATCTCTGAAACTGGTACCATGCTTATATTTGAAGGATATCCAGAGAGAACAGGATATGAAATCAGACAAACCTGGGTTCAAATCCTGTGTGATGCTGGGTGTGTTACTTAACCTCTCTGAGCTTGAGTTTTATCATTTAGTTTTTTCATAGGGTTAAGCGTGGTTAATGGGGTAATCGTTGGTCACTTAGCACAATGCCTAACCCATAGTACACACTCAGAAAAGGTTCATCCCCTGCCCCTTACTCTCCTTTGGAGGAGTTGGGCTTAGCCCAAGCTTTAGATAAAATTGTGTGGCCCCGCCAGTTCCCCCAAGGCCACGAGAAACAGTGAGTGACCTGTAGGGGAGGAGAGTGGCAGGTGGCAAGCCGGGACGCTCCTGAGGGAGCCTGGCCTGCGGGCCTACCTGATGATGGTCAGCGGGATGAAATACACCAGGAAGGCCACGACGGTCATGTACGGGGTCCAGTAGGAATCGTCGGGCCACAGCGCCCAGCACTGCTCCTCGCCGTTGGAGAGCTTTCTCTTCCCGAAGATGACCAGGGTGGGGGTGGAGAACAGGAAGGACAGGCTCCAGGCGCCGGCGATGAGCACCTTGGCTTGCTTTTCTGCTCAGAGAAGAGAGGGAGGGCTGGGCATCTGGGAACATTCTTTGGGGGCACACTTGGAGTATAGTGTAGAAGATTACTGTGCGAGAGGAGCTGTGGATCTCTCAGAGCCTCAGTTTCCTCACCTGTAAAATGGGGATCGCAGGCCCTGCCTCTGGGGCTGATTCGAGGGTTAAGAGAGGATGTTTGCCCCGAAGCTGGCCCACTGCCTGGCATAAGGTCTGTGCTCCCCAATTTCTCCTTCCCTCCTCCTTCCCTGATTTGCCCACTGGACTTGAAATATTTATGCATCCATCCTTACAATATCGGAGAGCTCAGCCTGTCCCATATACCCTATGTGGAGCCTCTATTAATTTTGTAGTGAGGAGATAAATGGCTTTACATATTTAAAAGAACACTATAATATTCATCGCTGCCTTTCCTGTAATTTAGGACACTGTTCAGAATATTGCACAGTGTCTCCCAGAGCACATCATATTTGTCCTGAGCTAAACAGTGGCATTTTTTTCTCACCCAGTGAATATGGGGAGATGTGTAACTGACCATGTTTCCCTCCTGGCTGTGGATCCCAGGCCCCCCACCCCCAGCAGGTGTCCTGAGACACCCCCACATGTTTTCTGATACTTAATTTCCCTTCTCTCCTACTTAAAATACTTTGGTGGAGGGTCTTTTTATAGACCACGTTCAATCCTTCCAGGAACCCACTGGATGCAAGTGAATAGATGGATGAATAAGTGTATCACACCTTTGTGTACATGTATCTTAGAATGTCTCCCCCATTTTCCTCACCCCACTCCCTGCCCCCTTCTCCCCCATAATCACTAGGGCATGGCTGTGCCTGGAAAGCTTGGTTCTGGGTACACACACACACACACACNCGGTGACAAGTGAATTTGGAAACAACGGAAGTTGTGTTGACCCAGAAAAACATTGTGTTGACTTGATTGTCACTCGCTATGATTTCAGGTCCTGGGAACCTGATTTAACTAATGACAGATCAGCTAAATCTGTTCATGCACAGCTCTCTCATGAGTCTGTCAGACAATATGACTCCTTTCCCCCCCTCCCTCCTTCTCTCCCTCCCTCCCTCCCTGGAGGATCTGCCATATGCCAGAAATGTCCATGTTGTGTGTGTGTGACAGTGACTGAGACAGTGACAAGACCCCTGTGTCCTGTGGTTCGTGCAGCGGGTCAGTGGGCCTGCGCCGTTCATTCACCCCGGCATTTACGAAGTGCCCACTGTATGCTGTATGTGGGATCCAGAAGTTAAGAGACAACAGTTCCTCCACTCGAGAGAGAGCCACACAGGCCGCAGTGACACTGGCTCACAGCCTTCATGGCGACCCGGACACGCTGAGGGTGCCGGTCAGGGAGCACGGCTTGGCCTCGGGGCGGGACAGCCCCCTGTGGAGCTGGCATTTGATGTGAGAGCCGAGGAGGGGAGCAGTTTGCCGGAAGCCAGGTGGGGGTTG